TGACAATGTTAGCAAATGATCTAGAACCCCCCAAAATTTTAAATAAAGGTACCGTTTGACCATTGGGAAAACAAACAAATTCCAAGCAGCAAAAAAACTTGTGAATTGGGCGAAGGTGTACAGAGCAACCCCATTTCTGCCGGGCCGTTCAGACGCATCCTGCTCCCCGGCCTGGAGGACAAATTCCCACCATGGGCCACGACGTGTCCCACTTCCTCCCTGTGTCCCAGTGGCCAGTCCTCCTCCTCTCCTAACCCCCTGCCCTTTGGAGCTTAAATAAATAGTTGATGGTCCTCAACAGGAGGGCGAGTTCGATTCTAAATCTGAAGGCTGCCTAAGGCCACAGTCTCAGGACACCCCCCTCCCCTCCCGTCTGACCAAGGACCTGGTCTCTCTCATGATATTGTGTTTCTCCTTCACATCTTTCTCTCCCTCTATCCAGGATCTTCGAACGTGATCCTTTTCTGAGAAACTTGATTTTTTTTTGGGGGGGAGGGGGGTGTACAGTTCTATTATTTGTAGCACACATATCCTAGAGGCACTACCACATTGGGGTACAGAACAGGTTTGTTACCACAAAGGGATTCCTTTTTATCCCTAAGGTTTGGCGGCCACCGATCTGTTTTCTATCCATGTGTGTTTTGTCTTTTCAGGAAAGTCATAGGACCAAATAGCATGTCGTCTCTTAACGACCGGCTTCTTTCCCGTCATAGAATCTATTAGGGCAACTTTCGGACGTGTGCTTTGAAACAAATGAAAACATACGAAAGTATGTAGACCTCCGTTGTCTTTCCATCCAGCTCCCATCACCCTCCATCATGGGAGTAATCAGTGTTATACAGTCTGGACTTAACCCTTTCACACCTTTCTCTAGTCTTATATAATCCTATTCAATTGTGTTTCCACCTATAGGGGTGTTTCTTCTGCTCATTCTTTTTTTCAATATATTTTTTACTACTACTGTTCATATCGCACTTTTCTCCTGGTCATTTCCCTAGCTCTACACTATTTAAAACATTTATTTGTTCTTTTTTTTAACTCATTCTTTTGATAACTGCTAAATAGTATTTCATGATGGATGTACCAGCAGTTCATAATCTCCCAATTGATGGATTTGTAAAGCTATCACAAGTCAGGGCTTTCAGAAGAACACAGAGTAAATATGTTTGTATGCACACCCTTACCCACCAGTGTGCGACATCCTACACTATAAACTCATTGCCGTCCAGTCGATTTTGACTAAGGGAGAAGAGATGAGACGTTTTAGCCCCATAAGGAATTACTTAAACAAACTCACCAGCACGGAGTCAGAGCTGACTCACAGCCCCTCCTGTGGGTTTCCAGGATGGTTTACGGGAGTAGGAAGCCCAGCCATTCTCCCTCAGAACTGCTGGTGGTTTCAAACTGCTGACCAAGCGGATCGCACCCTGACTCGTAATCACTATAGCACCAGGGATCCCCTTAGAGGGCTGCGGTCTCAGGAACCCCCAGGGGCAGTTCTCCCCTGTTCTAGAGGGTCGCTGTGCAATTCACTCAGGGCAGTGAGTTGAGAATTTGGGTTTTGATAGCTCATGCTAGCTAACGTCCTAAAAAATTGTGGTTGCTTTTTCATTCCCGCGGAGAAGGTGTGCGAATACCCTTCTCTATCCAAACGAAACGAGCTAAACTCTCTCCAACCTAAACTGCCGATTCGTGCTTCTTAAAAAAAATTCCGCCACTCTGGTGAGCAACCTTTAGCTTTTTACTTGACTTTCCATGTATCGAGGGATTATGAAAAAACTATTTTTTTGTGGACCAGTCAGATTTCCCATTATTAACGGCCAGTTCAAGTTCTTTGTACACTTTAAAATGAAGTCATCTCTTATCTTTTTGTAGGAATTCCCTGCAGCCTGTGGAGAGCAGTCACTTGAACATTCGTATGTGCTACACAGTTTTTAAAAAATGAATTGTGGAGTCAAGTGCTGTCAAAACAGCTCTTGTCAATTTTACGTGGTTAGCTATGCCTTTCAAAGCCCGTTCACTCCCTGTCTCCTTAGAAATGCTTTCCCCACTCCAAGGCTGTGGTAATTTTCTTCTCTGTGTTCTTCTCATATTGAGTATTTCTCTCTATCAATATGTGTATATTTTTTCTGTTGTACAAGACTTTAAATTTATTTTTAATTCTATTTTTTATTATTTGCTTAGTTTTGTTTTTAAAAACTTTTCAATCATTTTCTTGGGAGCTCTTACAGGTATCATAACATTCCACAGTCCAATCCCATCAAGCAGTTTTGCACAATGGCTACCACCATCAGTTTCAAAATGTTTTCTTTCTTCTTGAACTCCTTGATATCAGCTCCCCTTGACCCCTTCCCTCCCCCCTGACTCTACCCCCAAGTAATTCTGTATTTTTAAGGTTTAATCCACCTGGAAATGACTTTTACATATTATGAGTTGGTGTCGATTTCTCCCAGCTAGTAAGTCATTTTTCTTCATGGCTCCGCCATAAATAAATGATTCTTGTCCAGCTGAATACCCCTTAAGTACTCCTTCCGTTAGAGATTCAGTCCCTTTAAATCAGTGGATCTCAACCTTCCTTATGCCGCCACCCTTTCATACAGTTCCTCATGTTGTGGTGACACCCCCAACCATAAAATTATTTTCTTTGCTACTGCATTACAGTAATTTTGCTACTGTTATGAATCCTAATGTAAATAGCTGATATACAGGATGAACTTTCATTGTTACAAATTGATCACAGTGAAAGCAGAGTGATTAATCACAAAACAATATGTAATTATATATTGTGAAATATTTATTTCTAATGACAAATCAATGACATTGTGTCTTGAAGCATGGTGTAGCATGGGTCACGGTCTTCACGCCGGGGACTCGTAGGTGGGCGTATCTGCATGTGGGCGGACCCGCCTGGAGACAGATAGAGGAGCGGTGCGTCTTGGTTCCTAAGACCATCTGAGCCTTTTCTCTTTCACCTCTTTATTTTCTTTTACTTTATTAATTGGGAGTTCAGACATATAGCATATCATTCCATAGTTCAATCACGTTCAAGCAGAATTGTACAATTGCTACCACAATGAGTTTCCAAACATTCTTTTTCTTCCTGGATGCCTTGACATCAACTCTCTTTGATCTCTTTCACCTCTTGACTTACTTGTTGGCGCTGTGTTAGGCCCTGGGCTTCTAACTATAAGGTCGGGGGTTCTAACTCACCAGCTGTCCCACAGGAGAAGAAAGAGGAGGCTGCCTGCTTCCGTGCAGATTTGCAGTCTTGGGAACCTTACATAGCATCGCTAGGCGTCAGAATCGACCCAGTGGTGGTGGTGTGGTTTTATCTGGTGTATCCAAAATGGTGTTTTTATGATAGCACTTCAAGACATTTTAATATATGTTCCTTGTTACTGTTCTTTCTAAAAGCAAAAATTCCTGGCTCTTCTCTGATATTTATTCTTCCATAGGAGTTTTCAACCATTTCTTTCCCTTCCCTGCTAAAGAGAAGACACTTGCAAGATTTCCCCAAGTCCTCTTTCCTCGCCAAATGACATTGATGTATGACATTGTGACAGGTTAACATGGTCTAAGTTTATTCAGGCTTTGTCGTTAAATGTGCTTCACGCATTTCCTTTGAAGAATATTCTACCTTCCAGGGACATTTCTGTCCCTGGGACATGACTTGCTGGCAGTGCATTTGAGTTTGTTTGAAACCTTTCCAGGCGAATTGATTCCCAGGGTTTTGTAATTGTTAGCAAAACAGGAATAAGATACATATGACGATCTTGGTTTTTTATGTTTGTGTGTTTTTCTTGTATCAATCCTCTGACTGGATTCTCTCTTGCTTTTCTGTTTTTTAGTGGAGTTTCTCTAATGTTCTCAGGAACAGAAACCATGTTTTCTCCAAGTAAATAGCTTTTGTTTCTTCCAGTTCTTTTGTTATTTTTTTCCCAGGGATTCCCTTTTTCTTGAGGTATTACCCTAGCTGAACCATCCAGGGTGAGGATGAGTAAGAGTCAGGCTGTCTTATTTCTTATTTTAATGGAAATATGTAGTTATCAGAAAGCCATTTCTTACTCTCTTACTATTAGACATTGGCCAATATCTTTATGGCGTTTACATAGTCTTTTTGATTCCCATTTCCTTGACTTTATCTTTGAACTTTCGCCCTTCTGGCTCCTTGGCAGTTAATCAATTACAGGAGTGACTCATGCCATAGCGCCAACCTTGATCCGGGTCCTCAGGGCTGGGAAGTGGAGCATGACAACCCTCAAAATCTGCCCCTTCTCCCAAAGTGTTCAAAGGACCAATTCCAGGGTTCTCAGGGTAGAGGTTAGGAAGAGACCATATTTTCCCCAGGGACTCCTGGGAAATGTGTTTGGATTCCCATCCCCTAGCAAAGGATGCTAGGAGGGGATTCTGGGGATTCCCCTCCACGAGACCCCCAGTGTCCAAACCCTCCTCTCTCTTCTGTCCTCAGGGACTGGAATTGACATTCCTGTGCTCCTCCTCCTGATTGATGGTGACGAGAAGATGCTGAAGGTGGGGGGACCTCGACTCCTGGCTTTAGAGGAGGAAGAGGCTGGGAGACTGGATGCCTGGGTCTAAGAGAGGAGGTCCTGGGGGGGGCTTGAACTCCTGAGTCTTGAGGGGAGAGGAGACTGGGGACCTGGCCTCCTGGTGGGATGAACATCTGTCTGCCTTGACCTTCTTCTCCCCCCTTTATCTTGTAGAGGATAGAAAATGCCACCCAGGCTCAGCTCCCCTGTCTCCTGGTGGCCGGGTCTGGGGGTGCTGCAGACTGCCTGGCTGAGATGCTGGAGGACACGTTGGCTTTAGGAAGCGGGGCATCCAGGCGGGGTGAAGCTCAGGATCGGATTAGGCGTTTCTTTCCCAAAGGGAACCCTGAGGTGCTGCAGGCTCAGGTATGACATCATCGAGGGCCTTACTCGGAAATTAGGTCTGGGCTCTCCAGGGAGGAGGGGGATGGGGACCTGCGCTTCTAGTGCTGGGGATAGAAAGTGGTGGGCACTCAGACCTGCCCGGTCCCAGAGGGAAACGGCTTTCTGAGTCTCTTTTCGGGGGAGGGCTCTGAGCCTGGCCTTCCTCCAGGGCCCAGGAGGAGTTGGCAGAGTCCCCGTATTTTGTAGATGGAGAGGATCATGACCCGGAAGGAGCTACTGACCGTCTATTCGCTGGAGGACGGCCCCGAGGAATTTGAGACCATTGTTTTGAAGGCCCTTGTCAAGGGTAAGACTCACATTCTCCTCTTTTCTCAGCTCCACCGTGGACACCTTGCCTGGCCTGACCCCTTTGTCCATCCTTTCTAACCTAAGGTCTGCGCCTCTTCTCAGCGTCTCCATTAGGTCCTTCATTTTTAAAGTGTTGCTTGGGTGGGGGGTTGCCTCGTCTTACTGGGACCCATCTCTCCAGGTTCTTTCATTACGTCCCAGCATGCTGTCCCTCTGTGAGATGGATCCATCCTTTTTCCCACACACCCATCGTTTCATCTGTCCATCAACCCATTAGTCC